GACCTGGTTCATAGGTCGATGTCGACACTCAACCACTGAGCTGAACCAGCCCAGCTGTATTTATGACTTTTTTTTAAAGGGATACTCCCTTTCTCATTCTGTTTCACCCCCTCCCCCAACTCAGTTTCACTGACATCCACAAGGAAGAGAGAGTTACAGGAATTGGGCCTGTTTACAGGAGGAAGCTGTTAAGTGGGAAGGAAAAGTGTGAGGAATGTGCTATGGGGTTTGCTCTGGGGGAAATATGAAGTCTTTCCTTTCTCCTCTTTGTGCACACAAATTTCCTTGGGCTGCCTGGGCTTGAGATGACACAATTGCCTTTTTATAATGCTTCTCTTACTATGTAGGGGAAAAGGTTACCACTTTGGATCCAGATCCCACACTTTTTTCTCTAGAAAAGAATTGTTCTCCAAGGGAGAAAGGAATCTACATGTACTGTGAAGTGCAGTGGTGGATATTGCCTGGCTAAGACTGGGGCTTCTATTTAGACGAATTATACCCACAAACTTGCTCTGAGAGACTGGTCCTGCTGTGTTCCATTTCAGATAGGTTCAGCAGGTAGGTCTCTGATGTGGACTTTCCCCTCTTCTTCCATTTTCTCCATGTCTGTTGGCATCATTTAACATAGGAATTCAAACTCTGGGCTCCTAAATACACTGGGTTGGCTCTTCTGCCCAATGAGCCAAAAGTGAGATTTCATTAGTGGACATGAGAAACGGCCTCCAGTGAACAAACAATGCAGATACTCACTACGCTGTGCGTTTGGGAAATGTTTTCATGATATGTGATAGGTAAAGCCCGAGGTCTTGATTTTATCACAGGAAGAAACAGCTTAACTCTCCACTAGAAAGTTTGGTCATGAGCAATGGATGAGTGGATGGGAAGGGCTTCTCACACCATTCTCACTTTCAGAAGCATGACCAAGTACCTACCCTACGCTCAGGAGTGTCCATTAGCTCGGTGTACAGAGGACTGCTCATTCCATTAACTCACTTTGTTCCCAGTAGAAGGTAAAATTGCTTGTAAAGACCAAGCTAAGCCAAATAAAGCCATATTATCAGCGTGTGGGAAAAAAAAAGACCAGGCTTAATTGGGGCCAGTAGGGAATATTCAGAATAGCTCCAAGCTAGGGGAAGGCAGAGCTCTCTGGTACTTGGGGAGTTTGGTCCTGTAGGAACTAGAGTATATGTGTTACAGGATTAGGGACTTTTGTGTCTCAAGTTGGACCATACAGTATTTGTGCTTCTGGGTCTTAGCTGTAATTAACTATTTTACTCTTCATCTATGCTAATTAGCTTTTAAATTCGTTCAAGAGTTTCATTCCTGTGTAAGGCATAGTGGCAGCTGTAAGAGATGCTGGTATGTATCTGAGCTGATGGGGAAGGTGCCAGTGGGCTCCTGGCTGGTCTGGTTGGAGGTCTTCTCTTCCTGACTGTTGAAGGTATATGGCAGGACAGGACCAGGGCCTGGGTGGCAGGAGCCTGCTGAAGGAAAGAGGAAGGAACTGGGCTGTAGCAGAGGCTCTCACTGGGGTTCTGCCTGGACAGCCCCACTGGGTGAGATGAGAGAATGCATTTTCTTGCAAAAGGAAACATCAGATTCCTCCTTCATTCTAGTTGAGAGTTTACTAGTGTCCAGATACATATCAGTGTTCCCCTCACAGAAGCCGCTGATGTTTTATGCATTTGAATGAAATACTTGAAAATTTTAAAAGGCCAATTGGCATAAATGAAGAACAAAATAATGATAGATAATACATGGAAGCCTAAAAATGATCAATACAGACACAGATGTTTCCAGCTGAGAGAGTTCCAGGGGGGAAGATCTTAGGAGCAGAGGGGCTGTACTGAGTCCAGGGCAACCATCTCTTTGTGCCTCTGGGGATTCGTTTATTTTACTCAGTTTCCATTAACTCACTTGCTACAATCCAACCTTTTAAGGAGTTAAAAAAAAACAAACTTAAAAAAAATTTTTTTTTTAAAGATTAACTGGCGCAACCTAATTTTTTTAAAAATATATTTTATTGATTTTTCACAGAGAGGAAGGGAGAGGGATAGAGAGCCAGAAACATCAATGAGAGAGAAACATTGATCAGCCGCCTCCTGCACGCCCCCCACTGGAGACGTGCCCGCAACCAAGGTACATGCCCTTGACCGGAATCGAACCCGGGACCCTTGAGTCCGAAGGTCGACGCTCTATCCACTGAGCCAAACCGGCTCTGGCTAAAATTTTTAATTTTATTAAAAATATAGTTGATGTACAATATTACATGAGTTTCAGGTGTATGACATATTCAACATTTATGTACCTTACAAAGTAATCACAATAAGTCTAGTAATTACCTGTCACCTTACAAAGTTATTATGATGTTATTATTTTTTAAATCCTCACCGAAGGATATGCTTGGGGAGAGAGAGAGAGAGAGGGAGAGAGAGATAGATAGAGAGAGAGAAAGAGGTGAGAGAGAAACATCGATTGGTTGCCTTCTGTACATTCCCTGACTGGGATCGAACCCACAATCCAGGTATGTGCCCTGACCAGGGATGCACAGGACAACCCTCAACTAACTGAGCCACTCCAGCCGGCCTATTACCATGTTGGTGACTATTTTCTCTGTGCTGTACATTACATGCCTGTGGCTTATTTATTTTATAACAAAAACAAAAAACTTTTAATCACTCAAGAGGTATAACAGGAAAAGTCAAGCTTGAGAAGCAAGGCTTGCTGATCCTATAGCGTTCTGCCATCACATGGTGCTCTCCTTGTATGTGTGCTCTGCGTCCAAATTCCCCATTTCTTGTAAGGACACTGGTCATTGAATTAGGACTGACTCTAACACAGCACAGTTTCATCTCAACTGGATTATATCAGTGCAACCCTATTTCCAAATGAGGTCCCATTCACAGGTTCCTGGGGTTAGGGCTTCGACATACCATTTTAGGGGACACAGTTCAACCACAACACTCCCTTGCCCATCTCCCTCCTGGACTAGTGTGCTGGTATCTTACCATTTCTCCCTGTTTCCAGGGCTTCCCCTCTGACCTGTCTATACTACCAATAGAATTATCTTTCTGTAATGTAGGGGGAAATCATATTATTCTATACTCTGTGGCTTCCAAAGGTTAAACTTGTGATTTGACAAGCCCTTTATAGACTGTTCTCATTTGAGAGCTGGACCTTTTGTCTTCATGGCATAATATGAAACAGGAATATCTTGCACAGGATCTTAATTGAAGCTGGCCTTGCTGAGTCATGTGCCTGCCAGGAATAATTGCTCATTAATCTCCCCTCCTACTGGGCTTCTCACTCACTCAGCCCTGAGAAGTCCTTGGGAAGCAGTTGGATTTCTTGCAGGATTGTTCCTAAGGATGCTGTACTTGCATATCTCATCAGATCCTGGTTTTTTATGCTTTCACTTTTATTTCCTAAACTTTCAGTGGAAGAAGGCAAGATTGCCCATCATACGGTAGTTGGATTATATTCACCCACGAAACTGATACTTATAAAACTGTCCTCTCTTTCCTTAACCCAGTCTGGCAAAATGGCACATATGTCGTGAACTTATTTCCCGTGAAAGCATGTGGAGTGGGAGGGGTGGGATGGAGGGTGAAAGTGTTTTCATGGAGGATAAAGAAGGATTAATGAGAATAATATTCATATAGAGTTCAGCAGGATAGAATCAATGTGAAGCACCTTCTTAACCAGTTGGCCATCTTAGAGATTACTGTACCTAGACTTTTTTTCTGATACTGTAACAATAAAATCAATCAATTCCACCATTTAAGTTACTGAGTCCCTAAGAAGATCTTAAAGGAGCCAGACATTTGCCTAAGTAGTTAAATCTCAGTTTAATTGCAGTAGTGTGATCTCCTTAGGTACAGAGGGGCAGAGAAAGAGCCATGTAAGGTCACTTGTATCTAGAAAGTATCTTTCAGTATAAGGGCTATACCTTTATCGGTCCGAACTTGGTCCAGTGGGGAACATGTGGAAGCTGGAATTAGAATGATTGGATTGTTATCCTTTCATTTAAAGCAGCGTAGACCTAGCTGGTTTGGCTCAGTGGATAGAGCACCAGCCTTCAGACTGAAGGGTTCCAGGTTTTATTTCGGTCAAGGGCATGTATCTCAATTCCCGGCACATCAATGGTTCTCTCTCTCTCTCTCTTGTCTCTCCCCCCCCCCCTTCCACTCTCTCTAAAAATCAAGGGAAAAACATCCTCGGGTGAGGATTAACAACAACAACAACAAAAGTAGTGTAGCCATAGGTGAGTGATCCTCTTCAAGCCTTAGTTTCCTAAGCTGCATGAAAAACATTTGGTACAATACCCGGCAAAAGGTAAGTACTAAAAATGTCAGATGTCAAAATATTATTATTTTGTTGTAATTATATGAATGACCCCAAAGCAGGTTTCACCTGCATCCAAGAACTTTATGAAATTCTACCTAATTACCTAAGCATCCTAGTGGGAATGCTGGTTAAAACTACACATGGGTCTTTTATTACAACTAATATTTTACATGGTGGGGTGAAGGGCTTTTTATAAGTAACTCTTTCAGTGACGCAAAGGTAAAGGTGTTCGAGGTAGAGCAATTTTAGAGAAAAATCTAGGCCATGTGTTAAGACTTATATCAACTATTGTTATAAGTCGATTTAAAAGGGAAAACAATATTTTACTAAGAGAAAGTAGAATTTTTATTGAAAGGGGACAGAAGAAACCTAGAATGAGACAAGTGTTAAAACTGGGCAATTCTGACAAAACCAAAAGCTCCCTGCCCCCAAATTCTGAGGAACCTTGAGGAGTAATTGAGTGCTGTTTGGGGGTTTTTCAGATTTCTGCATGTAGTGCTTAGTGTTTGGGGTGGGAGAGACAGTTCTTATATTTTCCATACAGCTGTTCTCTTTATATAAATATCCAAACAAAAAGAGGGTTTAAAACTATAACGAGAGCTCTCTTTTGAGACACTTTCTCTCTGTAACATTTCTCTCTTTCTTACAATCAGGCGAAAATGAAATCCTTGCAACTCTGCGTGCAATTTCCAGCAGAAACCAGGTCTGGAGGTCGTATATTGGCATGGGCTACTATAACTGCTCAGTGCCACAGACTATTTTGCGGAACTTACTGGAGAACTCAGGATGGTAATGTGTTACTTGATTAAAAACAGAAGTATTGTGATTTTATTTGTATGGTTCTCCCCACTTTCCCACACCCCCTACCCCTGGGGGCCTCAGAACTTATCCACTGACCCCTGCACTCGTGCTGTCTCTAACCTCCAGCAACTTACCTGGCTTTCTCTGGCTCGGGAAATTTCTTTACTCAAATTGATAGAGGAACTAGAAGCCTCTTCTTGCTTTTATTCCCATAAAACATTCTAGAGCTCTAAATTGTGGATGCTGATAATCTCTTTCTCTCTCTGACCTAATGTCTATTATGTCTTTGTAAGGACATCTGAGCAAGATGTCACACCTGCAGGGGAGCAGATTCAGGGCTTTACTCTTTGGAAACACTGGGGTTTTGGGTTGTAAACAGTCTTAGAGGTTAGAATCAGTGAGTCAGAATCTTGGTCCATTGTCTTTCATCAGGATTTTAGGAGGCTCCATTGTCTCTCCCTGACTCCTATTCTAGATTCACAACCAACTGGGAAAAAAAAAGGCAATGTCAGGTAAATGGAGATCAAAATATTAGCTTTATTACTTAGTACTCTGTAGAGAAAGAGAACATGTGAGGCCTGTGAACAGGCTCCAATGGAAACCATAAAAGAAGGAGCTGAGCTGTGCATGCTCAGCTGCTTGTCCTGTTCTCCCCTCACTCATTCCTAGTCCTCAGGGTGTGTGTGTGTGTGTGTGATGTCTGTCTGTCTTTGCTGTGTGTGTGTGTGTGTGTGTGTGTGTGAGTGAGATATGTCTGTCTGTCTTTGTCCTTGCATTTTCTCGCGGCTACTGCTTGCACAATACTAAACGTGTCTCCTCCACACCTAAGGAAAACTTCCCATGTCCACTTCCATAGTATTTTGTTATTTTCCATTGTCGCTTGTTATGTGATGTAAAGAATGAAACAGGTTCCCTTTCCAATACTAAGTAAGAAAACACGTTGGATATTTTTGATAGGTAGAGACCATGGCTCCAAAAGTGCCTGGGAGCAGATTTGGGCCTCTCTTCCTCTGCCCATGGGGAAATATGGCCAGACTGTGGAGGAGGAAAGGTGGGGACTCCCGGGCCTTTCTTTCCCTTGTTTTTGGATCAGTGTCATTGCATATACTAGTATCTTTGAATTGAAACTTTATTTCCACCGATGACTTAGTCTCCAAAGGCCTGGGTGCACTTATTCCTAGCATAGAAACAAACCAAGCCCTGGCCAGGTATTCAGTTGGTTAGTTAGAGCGTTGTCCTGATACGCCAAGGTTGGGGGTTCAATCCCTGGTCAGGGTACATACAAGAATCAACCAATGAATGCAAAAATAAGTGGAACAACAAATCGACATTTCTCTCTCTCCCCATTCAATAAACAAAGTTTATTTTATTTTATTTATTTTAAAAATATGTTATTGATTTTAGAGAGAGAGGAAAATAAAGAGAGATAGAAACATTGATGAGAGAGAAACATCAATCGGCTGCCTCCTGCACACCCCCCACTGGAGATCAAGCCTGAAGCCTAGGCATGTGCCCTGACTGGGAATTGAACCGGCAACCTCTTGGTGCATGGGTTGACTTTTAACCATTGAGCAACACTGGCCAGGCTAAACAAAGTTTACTTTTTTAAAAAAAGAAATAAAGTGTGGGGAGGCAATGATAATTTCTGATTTTATTTTTAGTTAGTATATGAGGTAATTTTAATACCCAGTAGGACCGTTATTATGTGAGGATAGAATAAGTGATGGTCTCTGCAATTGAAAGGCATTCACATAGTAAGATGCAGAGATTGGTTGTTTTTTTAAAATTATTGATTGATTTTTTAAAAATTATTGAGATAGAGAGGGGGTGAGAGAGAGACAGAGAGAGAGAGAGAGACAGAGAGAGGCATTGATTTGTTGTTCCACTTATTTATATATTCATTGGTTAATTCTTGTATGTGTCCTGTCTGGGGATCAAACCCACAACCTTGGTGTCTGGAGATGATGCTCTCATCAACTGAGCTACCCGGCCAGTGCTCAGAGATTGTCTTTTAGGTTAGCATATATTAAAAACAAATCAACTTTAGTAAAGGGAAGGTAGGCTTCCCTAGGGGAAATCATGAAATTTATCTCCATATGAGTTATTGAAATATCAGGTGCACACTCCCCAGCAATAAACCTTAAATGTTTGCTGAACACTTTGCAACTTTAAAAAATATATTTAATAAAATTTTGTCAGAATTAAACTGAATTGTGAGTGAGCAGTATTCTCATTTCTGTGTAATGAGAGAGGGTGTTTGGCCATCAGTACAGCCAGCCCTCACCTGCTGCCTCAAATCCAGACTTGTAGTTTTGAGGACAAAGCCATTTATTTAGCTCATGGCATAGGTTGGGCTGGGTGGGCAGCATAGCACCTTTGCATCTTTTGTCTGCTTTTGCAAAAATGCACAGGTAGTCCTGGTTGGTGAGAGTGCTTTGTCCTGGATGCAGTTACTTGTATCCCATCATTAAAGGAGCCAGATCTGTTGGCATAATCACTCCTGCCTTGCCATCCCCATCCAGAGCTCTTAGTTACAACACACTCCATTTCTTTATTAATAACAAGACAGGAAAGAAATGTCAAAAAACTAGTCTTTCAGCTTTTGTTGTGTGTGTGAAAGTATTTGCATTGCGGAGGGCATCTTTTCCACTGTGGTACTGGTAAAAGTTTGAATGGTAAACTCCAAGTTTGATTTCAAAAGCAAGTGGCCAGTCTTTCTTCCACTTTACAAATAAGTACACAGACGGGCTGTAGCATTCGGTTGTCTGAACACTGGCCAGCGGCCTTCGCTCTTGGTGGCCATACAGAGCTTTCACCATATTGGTTCCTGGCTGTGAGCTGATGTGTTAATTTACTTTAGGAGCCGCCAGCAGTGTGAGAGGGAGGCAGTGTTCTTTGCTTTTCAGTCCTGTTTTTTGGGTGCATTTTAAATAGTGTTCCTTTCTGTTCTCCGAAAGCAGATCTGAGCCAGAGGGTGCTGCTCACCTCGCCAGCACTGATAGGGAGAGCTGTGCACATGAGGGTGGTGGACTTCACCATCCCTCTGAATGGTTTCCATAGAGATGGAACCAACAAATTCCGGTGACGTGAGGTGAAAGTAAATGGAGAGCATAGCCTTGAAAGAACACAAACATTTGGGCTCTTGCAAGAAAATTTACATCAGGTCTAGAATTTACTTTATGGGGTCCACTATTCCAGATTTTTGACTGCTGATAATATCAGTAGCTAATATAAAAACAAATCTACATCTTCTTTGTGGTTATTTCTGTTTTGTGTAACTTTGGCACCAAGATTAAAATGAGAGAATCTCATGAATGTTTATTCTATTGCAACCCCCCCCCACCTCCCTCTTTCTCAATTCCAAAAGAAAGCCACAGCCAAAATTATAGAGAATACTGATTATATTGGAATAGTATTAATGCATGTTGAATACATCAAGCATCCTATTTATTTAAATAGGAAAAAAAATTCCTTCTTGGATATGTAAGTACCTTTTTTTTTTCCATTAAAATACATCTAGAAACACAAACCAATTGAGTTAAACTGTCAGTTGGAACATAGACATTGTGGATCACAGACACATTTTCTTAATCACCATGTTTTGCCTAACGATTGAGGCAACTAAACCTGTGTATGCAAGATGGCAGGCCCTGTGCTAGCATTTTTATCCTCACATGAGGATTTATTTGTTATCTCCTAGCTCAGTGATGGCAAACCTTTTGAGCTCGGCGTGTCAGCGTTTTGAAAAACCCTAACTTAACTCTGGTGCCGTGTCACATATAGAAATTTTTTGATATTTGCAACCATAGTAAAACAAAGATTTATGTTTTTGGTATTTATTTTATATATTTAAATGCCATTTAACAAAGAAAAATCAACCAAAAAAAATGAGTTTGCGTGTCACCTCTGACACGCGTGTCATAGGTTCGCCATCACTGTCCTAGCTTGATATAAGAGTCCTTTAACAGATGATTGTGAAAGGCTTTCATGCCTGTTTTATTTTAGTAGTGTAAAAACCTGTAGATTATAGAAGAAGTTTACAAGTATAAGAAGGGGGTCCATATATTTGTCATCTTTGCAAGAAAACAATTTTAAAGCTCTCTAATGAGCATCAGCCTAAGCTTGGACTTCTATAAAGGTTGAGCAAGAGGAGAAATGCTCAAAGGATGG